GGTGTTGTTTTCTTGGTATCTTCATCCATCACAGATAATTACAGTATGTTTCTCTCTCAGTTGCTCATTCAGTAAATATCTCAAAACCTTGTCAGTCTAATTGATGGTTTAGCGACACAATCATGCATGCAAATAATCAGTATAAGCAGTCGAGCAAATCTCCTGCAAACTGAAAACATCAATGTCGAATTTACCCCAACACTGACTAAGGTTCAAGCCATTATCATAGACACGAGTTGGGAGTGTACTCTTCTTGGTTACAACTTGTGTTCTCCCTGATAATCACATGAGCATCACTCACTATTAATCATCTTGTAAAAACTTATTTAGCTAAATCTTGCAGCACCACATCACTTCGTAATATGACACATAGGCTTAACTGATTTTAATAACTTATAACCACTATATCTCAATTAAATCGTATTTCGCCTTATGATAAACTGCATACTTCCCACTAACTTGTATGCTTAATCAGCCGTCAGATATAAATATGTATAAATAGTCTATGGCAACGCAGAACATTGAGTCTAGAGCATATCTCTAACGAATACACTCATGTTTAACGATTTGTTCCTAGCTATCTGTCCCAAATTCATATAATCATCACTCACGTATTCAAATTTTGTTTTGATAACCATTCATGTGTATTAGTAGTATTACTAAATTCTATCACGGTCAAGTAAAAATGAGGTTGAGGAAATCTCCCCGTAACTAAATAAACCGTATCAAACTAACTGGCACACTAGTTGGAATTCTTCTCCACGGTATACTTTTGTTCCTTCAGTTAGCCTACTAATACAGATGCAATTGGAAATCAAGTCATATGGACAACTTACCGGCATAATCGTTATTTGATTTCATAATTTAAACCGAAACTAATACCAATATTAACATTTCTACAATATTCATTACTTTAATATTTCTAAACACAAAGTACTACCTATACGTTAAGTTATTAACCAACGGCTATTAACACGCATCGTTTTATTATTATTATTGTAACCCCATTTTTATAGCTCAAATAATCTTCACCCAAATTTTCATTCCAAGCATGTTAAGCATGAAGGCAGATATTTTAAAATTATTACATGTATTTCCCGACCAGATGCTGCCGCTTTCTTTTTGATTTATCTTTCAGCTTACCAATACCCGGAGGATTCTTATTATCCTTGGTAACCTCCGGCGCGCGACGATCCCATCCAATTTGGTATCGAACCAACATCACGTTGATTCTGGTGGGAGAGTAGTGTAGTGGCATTGGACAATAGCCACACACAATCCACAAAGCTGTGAACACGAGACTTCTCAGGAAATAGATATTCAATATTTAACGCGGAGAAATACCTAACAATGGAGTAGGCGCGAACAATGAATAAAATGGACTGGAGTTGATCGGATGGCATGGCTCGACCATGCAGGCGTGGTTCATCTGAGTGTTATCTTATATCTCCTATTCATATTAAATATATTGTTCCTTCTCTAGCCTAACCTTGTTCTACATCATGTATTGGTAATTGATACGATACAGTGAGTTGGCGTAGTCGATGGTGTGACTTCCACGTAAGATCTTATAGATTAGGCAGTTATATCATGACAAATCTACAAATTTAGGATTAGGTCTATTATTAAAGCAGCACTAATATCATAGTAGACCATAGTTCTACAGGCTCACCAATGTAGAATTATGGTCTAATATGATATTAGTACTGCTCTAATAATAGACCTAATCCTAAGTTTGTAGATTTGTCATGATATAACTGCCTAATCTATAAGATCTTACGTGGAAGTCACACCATCGACTACACCAACTCACTGTATCGCATCAATTACCAATACATGATGTAGAACAAGGTTAGGCTAGAGAAAGAACAATATATTTAATATGAATAGAAGATATAAGGTAACATTCAGCATTTTCTGAGTAGTCTCGTGTTCACAGCTTTGTGGATTGTGTGGCTATTGTCCAATGCCACTACACATTTTTCATCTTATTTAACACGTGTCTTTAACTTATTTTTGTCTGACTACAAATATCGATTCACACTTGGTGAAATCGAGTTGGCTCAGCCGACTTCTCCGACACGCGTCATTTTGCCTTGCTTCGCTCTCCAGTCAATGATTATACGAAATATACATATCCAAAAATCCATTCTCGTATTCGACTTATTTAATTCAGTCATTAAACAACGCGATTGAAGTCGATGATTATATACGAGAATTGGCAACATCTATATTTCGATAACAAGAAGAAAATAATCTATCTATAGTCAGATCTCGGTCTACTAAAATGTTCCCAGAGAACTCCAATGACTACTACAATACATTTTTCAGTTTATTCTTTTGTATCTAGGTTACTGTGTTCAACAGTTGATTGATTGTGTCGTTCTGTTTCATTGCATCGCAAACAAAACATGACAAAAAATTATTCATTTTACATACGTCCACTTTTGTTAATACACAAAACGAAATCTGTGTATCTTTAAATGCTTGTGTGTAAATTCATACATGTTTTTATAAAAGTCCTTGGTGGGGACGATAGTTCCCCAGAACTCATATTTTGTAATTTTATCTTATCGAATAACTTATCGATTAAATATTTGAATGCCTGTCGATTGATGAACTTATCGACAAAATATTTGAATGCCTGCCGATCGATGAACTTATTGATTAATGTTTAAAAACATTTTACTATGACAATATCGATTTTAAATATCTGTATAAACACGCTTGACTTGTGTACTTGACCTGACTTGATATGTGCTGTTTGTCTGTAGAACACACTTTCTACGCCTCACCCAGACTTCTTGATCGCGTTAGCTGAGTCGGGTACAACAGACTAGAATAGTCTATTGGGATTCTGAATCCCTTGATCCGATCGATAAGTCAGTGTCCTATAGTCGGCGGCCTTTGAGTTACAACAGTCATGTAGAGCAACTTTTGCTGTAGGTATCAATATTAAGAATGAACTAAATAGTTTCAGACAAATCAAGCATTGGGTGGAAAGTTATTCATAAAATAATCATATTTCTGCGATATACCAACTAGTAGAATTCTATTATTGTGATATGTCAACGAGCAAGAATTTGCATTCCTGACGTTTCGTTACTTTTGAAAGTCACTTCTGTTCGTTTTTATTTGTCTACCTTGAGGAAGTGATTAACATCGGGTCACGAAACGTCAGAAATTCAAATTCTTGCTCACTGATATATCACATGGGTAGAATTATTTTGCTGTTACTAACCTATGCTGTCTCATGGTACATGGGATATTTGCGCGTCCATACCGGCTGTTTTTTTACACATTTCGCTTGATTACTTGGACAAAAATATATTCAATGAATCCCTTCATTTACTTTTCCTTTTTTTGAGACTACTGGAAACGAAAAACCGAAATTGGATACCGAACTTTTGGTTGCGTTTTTCTATTGTGCACCCCTCGACTACTTAGAGTAGGAAAACACGATCAGACACTAATGGATGATATAACACATCACACCAATTTTCAAAGGTGGTCGACGCAATGAACCTTCAAGTTATCGGCCGGTGGCTCTTCTGTCATTACCTTCAAATCTCATGGAGTCCCTGATATGCGACGGTTTAAATGACTATCTACTGTCCTTAAATTTCTTCTCACCCCAACAGCATGGTTTCAGGAAGGGTGACTCTTGTATTACCAACCTGCTGACTGCGGTGGACAGATGGACAAGCATCCTTGATCACAAGGGGAAGGTTGATATCATCTACCTAGATTTCTCAAATGCTTTTGATAAGGTTAACCATACATGTCTTATCAATAAGCTCAAACGATTGCCCCTCCCTATACCTGAAAAATCAACATTTTAAGGTCAGGGTTAATTTCACTTTATCTCAGGCTATGGAGTGTCCTAGTGGGGTCCCCCAGGGCTCAGTACTAGGGCCTCTTCTCTTTTTGATCTACATAAATGATCTTCCTGAACAGGTAACGTCAGACTTATTACTTTTTGCCGACGACGTGAAACTTTGGAGAGAGATACGCAACCAAGACGATATACAGGCACTTCAGGAGGATCTGACGCGACTTCAAATTTGGGCAGACGATAACGGACTTACCTTTAACACTTCAAAGTGTAAAGTAGTCCATCTGCGACATGTCGCAAACTACAGTTACAACTTAGGAAACTCCTCTCTAGTAGTATCCCAAGTCGAAAAAGATTTAGGAGTCCTGGTGCCCCATGACTTAAAGTCTTACGCTAACTGTGACAAAAATGCCTTCCGAGCAAACCTTGCACTGGTAACGTTGAAGCGCATTTTTGGCCAGTTTGACGGAAGAACTTTCCATATAATCTTCAATAGTTTCATCCGTCCCCATTTAGAGTACGGAAACATAGTACTCCCCCCTCACTCCAAAAGGACAAGGTCACTTTGGAGCGTATCCAACGGCGAGCCACGAAATCAGTTCGAGGACTCAAATCTAAGCCTTACGAAGAACGCCTCCGTTCACTAGACCTTTACCCACTAGAATATAGGCGTCTTAGAGGTGATTTATTAATGGCTTATAGTATTCTTAACACTTCTGGACATCCTCTTAAACACCTACTTAAGCTTAGTTCGAATAATAACCTAAGGGGTAACACCCAGAAACTGGAAACACAACATAGCAAGACGGAATGTAGACACAACTTCTACTCCCTAAGAGTTGTCAAAAGCTGGAATTCGCTGCCGGCCGAGCTAGTCCAAGCGACTTCTCAGGAGTCCTTTAAGAGGCAACTTGATCTATTCTTAAGGATTAAGGATAGTATCACACTATGATTTACCAATTTCTTTTCCTCTTTTATTGTTAACATACCTAGGTTCCTGCCTGGAGGATTTCGTGATCCCCTGCTACTAGACACGGAAGCCTGTTAAGCGAAAGCTTCTTCTATTCCGTCCACAACCATTTGAACCATTTGAACCATTTGAACATATGTTTAGGTATGGCGAAGTCTGGTGGCAATTCAGACGTTGCGCTACTGTCTTATTACAATGAATGACTCCCGTGTGCAGGTTGGGGTAAAGAAACTCCCTATGCACCTACAAGTAACGTCAAAATCACATATTTAATCATTAAAAAGAGTTCCCAAAATCGTTTGCTCATTAAAGGAGGAAAAGTAGTCAATGATGATCGTATGTTTACTGCTGATATATATATTGAAGATGGGGTTATTAGGTATGTTGTCAGGTACCTTAATTTTGTGTAGACAAGTAGGTAATCAGCTTTCGATTCCAGGGGGAGTCAGAATCATTGATGCATCAGGAAAGATGGTCATCCCAGGTCTTTCAAATCTTTAAGTATAGTTTATTGTCTCCTTTTTAGGTGGTGTTGATCCTCATACATGCTTTGACTCCTCTTGTTTTGGTTTGAATACATCAGATGATTTTTATTCTGGCACGAGAGCAGCACTTGCTGGTGGAACTACTACAATAAGTCTGTTTGTTCGAAATCATTTATGTTTCAGTCAATTGTATTGTACCTACAAAAATTTCACTTTTGGATATGTATGAAAAGTCCCGTCAAACAGCAGATTCCAAAGCATGTTGTGACTATGCGATGCACTTTATCTTATCCCAGTTCGACCCCAAAATATCCAAGGAAATGGAACTACTAGTCAAAGAAAAGGGAGTGAATTCTTTTAGGGTTTTTTTGTCAAATACAAACGACATGTTAGTAGACGACGGTGATTTCTTCGAAATCGCTAAGCGGTGTAGAGATCTTGGTGCTGTTCTCCAAGTTCATGCAGAGAATGGAAAATTAGTTAGGATACTAGAGTCGAAAATATACAATGACGGTATTACTGGCCCAGAGGGTTACTTGTATTCACACCCAGAAATGGTTAGTTACGGTCCTAAAATAATTTTATTGTCTTTGTTTAAAATATTTTCGAATAAAAACTCTTACTGATTATTATTACTCTCTGCTGGGTTTGGCCTTCTATTACCTCTAACATCCTAGCAGCGATATTCTTTTGCCCTCAAATGTCTTGGTACAGCTGATGGCAGGAAAGTCCAATTTACCTTTCAAATTGCCTAACATGGGCACGCGTATACAACCCCTGCCAGGGAAGTCCTATTCACTGCCTTCTCGTGGCGGAGGTATTGTTTACGAAATTGAAAGAACGAAAAGCAAATGTTCGGTGCACTAACCGGGTGAGTGGATATCGATGATCCATCTAGTCTTCAGTCTTCAGTAATAAGGATAGTAGGTTGATAAACCTGTATTAATCCTGACACACTGCTTTCCATTGAAGGTCCAGCTTCTCCTTGAAAGTATTCACTGATGGGGCTGATACCACTTGTTCGGGTAAGGCGTTCCAATGATTGACTACTTGATGAGAAAAACGGGACCCCACTTTAAGTTTATTAGATCTTGGCTTAAGAACCTTCTCGCTATGACCGCGGAGATTATTAGTGCTGGAGGGAGCAAAAAGATAAGACATATTAACCTTGATTCCAAAACAGTGGTGCTCATAGGTTCCAGGATTCTAGGGAGAAAGTGGTGTGTGAACCTACTGTCGATCACCAGCTACCATGGGACTGCACCTTCTCACGTCGATCCACTACCTTGTGGATTATACCTTTGGGTCTAAGACTCTGGGTGTGGCCCCTTAAGAAAACCACCTGCTTCGGTTTGGGAGACCGGGAAGTATTCTAGCACACGCAAACCGAATGCCGAAGTGTCGCGTATATATATTTGGTGTATCATTGCATCAATATTTGTGTTTTAGTAAATCAATAAGTGATAAATAACCTTTAATATGCGTTCTGTAACATTGTTTTTTACCGAATTCTCTATGGTTATTTTGCTTAAACACTTCAAAGACAGATTCTTCTTGCCAGTTATACCAAAACATTTTGGAATGTTTAATTATTTAGCTTTAAGGGGTCAGTAACGTAAGTATTCTGTCGCAATTTATGAACCATAAAGTCGATTTTAGTGTTTATTGAATTATATATAGCAGTCCCGCAAATACTATTGTTGGAAATTTAAAGAAAGAGAATAATTTCGGAGTTTTGTAGAGGTAGTAGGTAACTCTACCATAAAAGAATAATTTAAATTTGTTGATAGGATCTATTGCATTGTAAAGGTGTTTTTGTTTATGTTAGATGGACATGGATGTAGGCTTTACTAGCACTTGATGACGTGTGATAAGTGATAGGCAGCAGCCTTAAAAGTGAGGTCCGCTTGATCCTAAGTATGGTAAATGATGTATTTGAATTAAAGTACTTTCGGGAGCTAGGCTCTTGGTGGTTATTTCACTGTTCCATGCAAAAACACTGCCGTTCGTATTCTGCTAGTAAATTAGTGACTTACTGATTTGTTATATTGTCTAAATCCTTGGTGACTGATGAATAGTATTCTTTCATCCCTTTAGTCATTGCTTTGTTTTTTATTAAACAACAATGTACTTAGATTGTGTTTTAACTATATGTCACAATTAGTTCATTCTGATTCTCAGCTCATCATTTTTATATTATAATGACCAAGCCTAAAAATCGACTGAGTTGTAAAACTTCTGTATACGTTTGACTGATTATATATCTTCTATATAAGCGTTAAATATTTAGACTGGTTTTATCTCTCTTGGAAGGGATTTTGTGTTTAAGAGTTGTAATGTATTTGAGACAAGATTGTCAATCCTTCTGCTTGAGTGATTAGTTTTTCTGCTCGTGATATTTACAAAAATAAACATCTCTTCACTAATATTCCAGAATGCCAACGTTGACCACACCATGCTTTGCAGTATTGACAAAAGATTCGTATGATTATTGATCGTTCATCCGAGGACAACTTTCTCTTGACCTACGAGAAATCAGAAGACATAAATCATCAATAAGTATTTGATTTATTTGCTGTGTTTTCGAAGCATATAGGACTATGGAATTGATGTTATTGCTAAAATATATTTTAGAGCGTTTATTATTTATTTGAACACATAAATATTGGTACAAGAGTGCGCCAAATATATACGCGCCACACAAAACAATGAGAATTCGAAGAGAAAAAAGGTAAGGAACTTAAAAAAAAGAGAACAATAACGAAGAGATTGGTGTAAGGTAGTGTAGTAATAATAATAGTAATAATGAGGGGACGAAAAGGTACAATCAGAAGAAATCTTTCAGTTAAGGGAGACACAACCACTTTTTATGAAGAAAGTAAAAGAAGGTTACAGCAGGATCGCCACTGGCTTCTATTCTGAGCCATATCTGATAACGTCTCTAGCCACTGTGTCGCACCATCTCTCGGACCCCAACCAGGGAGTCGTGAAGGACCGACAGAAGCCAGTCCTTTGCAGCTTTCTTTCATACCACGACACCATGTCATGCACTGACCACCTCTCCGCTTCTTCCAACCAGTCCCAGAGTCGGCAAATAATGCACGACGTGGAATTCTCTGGGACGACATTCGGAGAACATTTCCAAGCCACCGAAGTCGGTGTTTCAAGATGGTGACACCAATTGAGTTATCATCTCTGTGCCCTAACACACGATGCCGAACCTCTGCATTACCGACATGGTGTTGCCACTGGATGTCAGCAATCCTTCGGAGACAACGATGATCGAACACAGAGAGTCTTCTAACGTCCTCGACTCGGAGAGGCCAGGTTTCACAAGCATAGAGCAGAACTGCTCTCGCCGACGCGTTGTAGATCCGACCTTTTACAGCCAGACTAACATCACGAAGGCGCCAAAGGTGGCCCAGATTGGCATAAGCCGCTCTGGCTTTCACTATTCGTGCATTGATCTCATCACCCACACCCCCACCAGCACTTATGCAGCTACCCAGATACACGAACTTCTCGACTATTTCTATCTGCTCACCATCCTGGGTGAGTACAGGATTAGAATGCTGTCAGTCTTGTAGAAGTACTTTGCACTTCGAAGGTGCAAAGCACATACCATACCTACGGACACTGATTTCCAACTGATTAAGTGCGGATTGCATGTATTGGACATTATCGCACAGTAAGACAATATCATCCGCATACTCAAGGTCGAGAAGTCTTTCTCCAGGCAACAGATCCACACCACCATTACTTACATCCATCAGAGCTGTTTACAGAATGTCATCGATGGCAAAGTTGAAGAGGAATGATGAGATTGGACAACCCTGCCTAACCCCACTGCTCGAATGGAACAATGGAGAGAGGTGGTTGTATGCCCTCACTCTGCCTAAGGTGTTTGTATATAGGGCTTTAAGGATGTTAATAAACTTCTCAGGCACACCCTTCTTCAATAGACAATCCCAGAGAACAGTCCTATCCAACGAATCGAAGGCAGCCCTGATGTCAAGAAACACTACGATCGTTGGCCTTTGATAAGTATGGCGGTGTTCTAACATTTGGCGGAGGGTGAAGATATGATCAATACATCCTCGACCAGAACGAAACCCAGCCTGCTCCTCGCGAGTCAATCTTTCTCGGGTTTTGAACAACCTACGAAGTATGACGGAAGCCAATAGCTTGGATGCAATCGGAAGTAGACTTATCCCACGATAGTTGTTACAGAGACGACGTGAACCCTTTTTAAAGATAGGGACAACTATCGACTCATTCCATGACGTTGGTACACTCTCTAGTTCCCAAACCTTTGTAAACAACGTCGTCAGTTCCTTAGTCAGAAAGTCACCACCATCTTTAAAAAGAGCCGGATGTAAGTCATCTGGGCCAGGTGATTTGTAGCGCTTGAAGAGTTGGAGTTCCTTGCGGACTTCCGCCTCATTTGGTGGATCAGTCGTCACAAGCCATGGAGGACAGGACAGTCTGACCGATGTTGCCGGAGCAGCTGGTCAGTTGAACTGCCTTTCGAAAAATTCTGCCCATCGTCCAAGACGTCGATGGATGTTAGTGATTGGCATCCCATCATCCTCGTAGATTGTTTCACTCACACCAGACTTCTTGCTGCCAGTGGCTCGGATGAGTTGGAAGAGCTTCCGGCAGTTATCAGATGCAGCTGCTGCTCCCAGCTCATTAGCACGCTTCGACCACCAGGCTTCTCGGTCCTTACGCAAGCTTTGCCCAACTTCATTACGTAACATCCTTCGTTTGTGGTCAAACTCACGGTCACCCGGAGTAGACCGACGGGCTTCAATGAGTTGTAAGGAACCAGAAGAAACCCAGTGCTAAAAAGCGGGACGTTTCGCAAACCCACAACTGACTGTTCCCGCCATTTTCATGGCGTCATGCAATTACAACCAATGCTCATCTATACTTTTCGGTGGAGTGGTAACTAGCCTAGAGGCTAGCTCGGTTCGATACTTACTAGCAACAGAAGTTGCAACCAGCTTGCTAACATCAATCCGTTGGTGGCGGTCACTTCGTTGTCCACTGAAAAGTAAGGTAAGATTGGCGCAGACCAAGGCATAGTCAGAGTCCAGATAGGTACTCCAAAAGGAGCTGCATTCTTGTACACAACCATGCCAGCGGTAGCTGATCGCGATATGATCAATCTGAGTCCAGGCTTGAGATGCAGAGGGAGGACGCCAGGTGGCACATCGGCGATGACTGTGCCGAAAGTTAGTGCTAGCCAGAAACAGGTTGTGGTCTGTGCACAGTTGCAGTAGACGGTCCTCGTTAACTGACCTGCGACCAACGAGTCCCCATCGGCCACCTAAACGACTCTCTTCTGTGCCTAGACGTCCGACCTGAGCATTCAAGTCTCCGGCTAGTACTACAATATCTGTCGAACGCACTTTCTGGAGAAGAACAGATAACTGGTGGTAAAACTCATCCTTGATTGCATCCGAACTGCAATCTTTCGGGGCATGGGCGGAGATGACGAAAAGACATCGTTTCTCACGCCGATTTCTTCTCACTTTGATGGAACTTTCTAATCTAACAGCACATAACCGACTGTTAATGGGGATCCAATCGGTTAGTGCTGCCTCACCTCTAGCGCTTAGTGCGACACCAACGCCAGCAAGACCAGACGAAAATGCCACAGGGTCCCTGGATAAGCGCACGTAAAACAAGCTTTTCGAAGCGACAGATGGAGAGCGAATTTGTAGTACTTCACCAGAGTCTTGAATACGAGTCTCGGATAGACAGCAAACATCGATATTAAGACTTTCTAAAGACATAGCCAGACCTATCTGTTGTCCAACCTGCATAGGTGTGCGAACGTTGGAGGCAGCCAGTTTGAGTGGTGCACGTGCTTTCAGAAAAACTGCTTCAGTACTCATATTCAGTGGTAACATACAATTTTCAACCGGACAGTGACTCGAGAACGTTTAGATAGAGTCGAATTTCCAACAAAGACGAGCCGCTGTATAAGTATAAAAGAGGGTGAATAGTGTGGTAAATAATAATAGTAATAATAATCATTTGATTGTTAGTTGAAGCAAGTAAATTAGTTTCCATAATTATAGGCAGTTCATCATATTTGTGTGTGGGCTGTGATACTGCCCGGGTGCCTAGACCGAAGCCGGTGGTTATCTTAGGGGGCCACACCCCGAGCCTTTGACCTAAAGGTCTAACCCACAAGGCAGTGGAGCATCGTAAGGAGATGCAGTCCCATGGTAGCCGGTGACCAACGATTGGTTCATACGCCATTTGTTCCCGCAAGATACTGGGGCCAGCCCATGTGCACCATTGGTTTGGGATCCGGTTAAAGGACCGGACATTCGCTTTTCGTCCTCTCATTTTCGTAAACAACACCCCCGCCACGAGAAGGCAATGAGTAGGACTTCCTTGGCAGAGGCTGTATACGCGTGGCCGTGTGAGAGTATTTCGAGAGGGAGAGCGGACTCTCCCCACTCTCGGCCGTACCAGGGCATTTGGGGGCTTAGGGCGTTTGAATTATTATCATACCACAGTTTTATTTGCTGTTTGTTTCAAACTTAAATCATCGGCTTTATCAAAGGAAGTGTTTCTATTTATTTTCACAGGCGGAGATTGAAGCTACACATCGAGCGCTTTCTTTAGCTGATGCTGCTGGTTGTCCTCTATATATTCTGCAAGTCACTAGTCCGAAAGCAGCAGATCAAATATCAGAAGCTCGTTGGAATGGAAGTGTTGTTGTAGGTGAAACATTAGCCGCTGCACTGGGTGCTGATGGTACTCATTATAAGAATAGTTGCTGGCGTCATGCTGCGGGATATGTTCTGTCTCCTCCACTAAGAGTTAATCGGAATACTTCAGATAAGTTGGTGCGTTACGTCTCCACTGGGGTTCTAGAATGTACTGCTAGTGGCCATTGTGCTTTTAAAACTGAACAGAAAGCTTTGGGAAAGGACGATTTTCGAAAAATCCCTCCTGGAGTCAATGGAGTAGAAGATCGAATGTCAGTTGTTTGGGAGAAAGGAGTGGTAATTTGCTGCTATAATTTTATGGAAACCGCTATTAAATTTATCTTCATTTGTTAGATGTCTGGTTTTATAGACCCATGCAAGTTTGTTGCTGTGACTAGTACGAATGCCGCTAAAGTCTTTAATCTCTATCCACAAAAGGGAAGGATCGATGTTGGAAGTGATGCTGATTTGGTTATCTGGGATGGTGATGCAACTCGCACAATATCAGCAAAAAATAACCACGAAAATGTTGACTTCAACATATTTGAAGGTCTCCAGTGCCATGGCGTACCTGTAGTCGTGGTCGCTGCTGGTCGGGTTGTTCTGGAGGACGGAGAACTTAGAGTAACTCAGGGTGCAGGTCGTTTTGTACCGGCTTTACCGTTTTCACCGTATATTTTTGAGCGAACAAAAAGACTGGTGCTGGTTAGTTGTAAATGATTGTAATATATATTTAATTGTTATTAATGTTAGATGCCATCATTAGTATCTTTGGTGAATCCTATCTCATTATGGTTAGGGCTATGTGCAATTTGTTGAGTGGTATTTATGGTTTCGTATGCTGCACACTTTTACATAAGTTTCGGTCAGTTGGTCACAAATCACAGTAGTCCAAGGACATGATATGCCATGATTACGCAGGGCTATCAAATCAAGTGGTCTATCCATGTTGTGGTATTTTTTTCTGGTTGTAGCCATGACTACTCACTGAAAAAGCCAGTATTTTTTAAATTGTCTTGATATAAAATCCTTCGACTGTCATTGGTAAAATCTTTTCAACAAATGTTCCACATCATTAATTCTTATGCTCAAGTAGTTATTTGGTGTATGTAGTGGTTTGTTAACCAACAATTCTGAGCATTTCCTCATTATTATAAGGGTAATTTACTTACTACTATTTTGATAAAACTAAATTTTGTACTCATATGTGAAGCTGTGTATTCGTTTCTTATCATCATGAGAAGCTGATTTGAAAGAATATTTCTTCACTTAAGTCGTATCTCGAATGTCTGAATGAAAATATATAAGTTATTACATTACAACAATCTTTTATTAAGAAGTATTAATTCCATTGTTAAGAAAAACATACACCTTCGGTAATGTTTTAGAATGCAGCATACAGATGTCATATTAAAATGTCTCATGGATTCCTGATACATTATATCTTAGTTTCATCTTTAGTAGATCTACTGTTTTTGTCGGAATCACTTCCATTCAAAGAATTATCTTAACAAAAGACATCTGAATACATAAAGGCTGTGACTGAAAACCGAATATCCAAACATTTACGTCGTTATTAGGTCATAAAAAGATTTTGGAAGTCAATCTTCGCAATTAAGAACTTTCGTCTAAATTTGATCGAATAGTTTCACAGTGTTTGGGCTCCGAGTTAACGCAAGACATTAAAGAGGAAGAATGTACTTGTAAAATCTCAGCGAAAGAATCTGAAATAAATCCAACGTTTCGCTTGGCAATCTGGTCCAGGCTTTTTCAATAGCTTATTGTTGTCCCTTATAAGTTATCCACGGATTATCACGGGTTCCCGTCTCCGGCAGTAAGGCCGTTTGAAGAACAGAGCTAACTTCCCACAAAGGGGCCGTACGTGACCGGCTTCAAGCAGTTGTCCCTTCGGCTCTGCGGTCATGCTTCCAGGTCGTTAAGACCAAAACTAATCCAACTTCCCTTTTAGGTTCCTCAAGAAATACCCTTCCGCGGTGTGGGCAGCCGGGAAGTGATATCAGCCCTCATACCCGTAACAGCACACGAGACCAAGTTGGTCACAATCGAATCCTACCTACACCTAATAACTCTCGTATCTCCACAACTAACCCTTCTCACGTTCCTTTATCACCTCGCACCGCTAATTCAAAAGATTTGAGTACGCGGAACGCTATTCCCCGTTCCCTGAAATCACGCTCTTCACTATATGGAGATTTTAACGTCCAAACACTGTGCCAAATAGGACAACAGGCTTCCTTAGCTAAGACTTTAGAATCGATGTGCGCTGGGTCTCCGAAACGCAAATAAAGTAGCGTCATTCATTTGACCTTACCATATCAAAATAAAGAAATATCTTTATTCACTCTTCGTTTATCTGGAAGCCTTAATGCTGCTTCCCGTAGCCTCGTTGGTGTAGGTATAGCAGTGAGTCCTAGGGCAGAACTAGCTCTCTTAGACTGGATCCCAGTAGACCGTCGTTTATGCGCTCTCCGACTGAACGGAACAATAATGACTCGGAAAGATAGGGACACATCGTTGCCTCTTCATCGTTTCTTCCTTCTCTCCCGTTGACTGCAGCTCAGATGATGTAAAAGATGAGTTCTACAGAAAGCTTTGTGACCTCCTCCAAAAAGTTAGGCGCACTGAAGTAATAGTGGCTGGTGACTTTAATGCTCAAGTAGGTAAACTAAGCGACACCTGGGTGGATCTTATAGCATCGTAACTCAAAGAACAGATAATGGAGACTGTCTCTTACAGCTATGCTCAGATAATCGCCTGTTTCTTGCAAACATTAACTTTAAGCATAAGGAAAATCATCTTTTGACATGGCAACCCCCGAATTAGTCCCAACGTTGGACCCAAATAGATCACATCGCTATCAGCCACCGATGGAGGGGCTCGATAGAAAACTGTCGCTCATTCTGGAGCACATGCCTAGATTCAGATCATGCTCTAGTGCGAGCGCGTATTTGCTTGCGTCTTACTGGACGTAGGAAAGACGCTGCAAGGAAACCTATTAGGGTTCTACTTAATGGTAGTCAAGCTAAGAATATATTTCAGGAACAATTAGAAAAACAGTTAGGCAGCCATGTAAGTGTTGCTTACCCCGGGGCAGCGTGGAATGACATCCGAAAAGCTGGATCTCATCAGCATCTACCGTACTAATAGATGCTTGAAAACTCATTCCATATGGCTCTGAACATAACGAAGAGCGGAGTAAGCTTAAGCGCAAGCTGACAAGAAGCCTACGCAATGATCGTGAACAGTGGTGGGTAGCGAAAGCAAGAGAGTTGGAAAAGGCAGCGGCAATAGGTAATAGCAGACAATTGTTCAGACTCGTTAGGGAAACCGGTACTAGGAACCCGACTGTCAGCAAAACACTCTCAGAGAACGATGGACATATTATACATTCTCAATCCAGGAAATTGGATCGATGGGCAGAACAATTTAGGGATCAGTTCAACTGGCTTTCAGCCACACTTCGGTTTCCCACGATCTCTAGTCAACCTGAATGGCAAGTTAATGTAGGTCCTCCGTCCCTTTACGAAGTTGAAAAAGCTACAGGAAATCTGAAGCGAGGGAGAGCAGCAGGCCCTGACAGGTTTACTCCTGAGATTTTCAAGGATGGTGGTCCAATATTAGCAGTGAGATTAACTGAGGTCTTAGGTAGAATTTGGGAACTGGACGCAATCCCATCTGACTGGTCTCAATCACTGATTGTGCCAGTCTATAAGAAAGGACAAAAGTCCTCTTGTGACAATCACGAGGAATCAGTTTGACTAGTATAGTGTCTAAAATATTAGCTTTAATAATACATCGATGCCTAACCAAAGCAGACTAGAGAAAACCAGGCTGGTTTTCGACCTGAACGTGGTTGTATAGATCAGATACTAGAACATAGACACACATTCAGATGCCTCAAAATCGTAGTATTTCTCGACCTTAAGGCGGCATTCGACTCTGTTGATCGTAAGGTTCTATGGCAGTGTTTGTCACTGAAAGGAGTACCAAAGAAGTACATTAACTTATAAAGGCTTTCTACTCGAACACAACTGGTCGAGTGAGAGCTTATGGCGAACTGTCATCAGAATTGATTACCTCAAGTGGTGTTCGTCGGAGCTGTCCACTCTCTCCATTCTTGTTCAACTTTGTCGTCAACACTTTCGTCATCTAAATTTTCAGGGGTTGAACTTCTACCAGCAGATTCACTTGTTGACTTGGAATATGCCGATGACATAGTTCTATTTGGTGAAGATGCCGATAAAATGCAGAGTCTTCTGACCATTCTAAGCAACAATGCAAGCATGTTCGGGATGCGATTCTCGCCCTCAAAATGTAAAATGTTGCTTTAGGATTGGTTCGCTTCGACACCCAAACTAATGATAGGTAGTGAAGTAGTTGAGCATGTCGCCCGCTGCAGTTATTCTGGGAGTCTCATCAACCCTTGTGGTCTGGTGTGTGACGAAGTCTCAGCACGGATATAGGAGGCTGAACTAGCTTTTGCCAACTTGCGTCATATATGGCGTAGGCGAGATATCCGTCTATCAACCAAAGGACGGGTTTACTGCGCAGCAGTTCTTTCCGTCCTACTTTATGGCAGTGAAACATGGCCGGTAAGAATAGAGGATATCCGTAGATTACTAGTATTTGACCATAGGTGTCTTCGAAATATTGCTCGTAAATCCTGGCACCATCGAGTAAGTAACGCAGTTGTTAGGAAACTGGTACTAGGTAAGGATGGCAAACCAATTGATGAAGTGGTGAAACTTCATCAGTTGAGATGGCTGGGACACGTGTTACGTATGCCCAACGACCGACTGCCTCGACGTGCGATGTTCAGTGGTATAGGAATAGGTTGGAAGAAAGCTAGGGGCGGCCAGACCAAAACATGGCACAAGTCCATGAAGTCACTGACAAGTGGACTGAGCCATTTTGGTATGTGTAGACTACCTGGTTGGGGACCGCGAGATGACAGCAACCGATGGTTAGAGACCATAAATGACATGGCTCAAAATTGTTTGCAATGGTGCAGGTGCATCTACTCTTTGTGTTCTCCCAAATTCTAATCTTCTGAATTCTTCATGTCCTTTTTTCTCTTTCCAAATTTATTTTACTGGATTATACTCCTTGAATAACACCTTCAAATTCTAATGTTTCCCATTACTAAACTTTTACTGCCTCTACCACTGTAGGATTTTAATCGACAATTGTATCTTTGTGCTAATATGGTAAGGCAACTCGAACTGATGTACGTACGTATGAAGTTCTACGTTGTTGACTGATTATCCACTGGTTATTTTTTACTAATATTTTCTCTAGATGCGTTCAGTCAAACCTATAATTCGTGATTCGTATACTGGTCCTGTGTCCACAGAATTCACTATTCCAATGAAAGATTCCATCGTCAATAATGGTACAGAAAAAGTCTCAGTGGGGTCTGATGCTGATGGCTTGCGCCCTCGTTCACCTACACGTTCGGGTGGTCGGAATATGCAGGAATCCAGTTTCTCTCTGAGTGGTAGGTTTATTTAGAAAACATTCCACTCATAGAATTATCCTTAAACGTTATTCGTTTCAGTTTTATAACAGGCAAGGAAGTGTAACATTTATGTTGAGCTATTCATGAAACAACTAAAAGTGATTAGGCTGATTGATGGGAGTAAAATTAAAATTTATAGTAATAATTACGAACGGCAAACTATTTGAGAAAGTAATATTTTAAGACTCAGACGGCAAGTTCATGTCGTATTTGGGTATCTCCTTGGCCCAAAAGATTATGATCTAGAACATAGAGTCAGAGATTAGGAAATTCGCAGAATGAACAACTGCGATTCGCTGTTATCTTGATATTGTTCATTCGGGGTGTGAAATTTTATAAGCAGTAAACCGAATATGGTCCATAAATCATTGGGTTATTTGTTGATCTGATGAATAAACTGATCAAGTCCTATGCATATATCCGATTCTAAAAGCTACAATGTAGTCCCATATTAATATGACTCACACGTTAAGTGAATTAATGCTTGATGATCATACAAATCACTAAAATTAGAGTAAGGAACAGTCAAGTAGTTATCTAAAAGCCTGAATACAAAGCTCTTTAACGTGTAATATCGTTGTCACGCATACTATTACTTAGCCTGAAAAGTCTAGCATAAATCCAAATCCTTGACTTGATGGTCGAAATATCAAATACAAACCATCAAGTCACAAATAATTGTTGTAAAGCGTCAATTTATGTTAATACACTATGAAATGTGTGATCAGTCTATCTGCAAACCTTTGAAAAATTACTTGATTCAACTCTATCAATCATAATTTACCATTGTAACTGCAAGGTCCAGTTTGTGACTGACGCCATTGTGTCTAGTAGCACCTTCAAAGAATTAGTGTTATAGTGGGATAGTGAAGTGCATGATGTGATGCTGTTGGCTGAGTTAAACAATTAAGAGCTAGAGATAGCCATGTGAACCGCGTTAGAAACAAGATTCAACTCAGGTTTGTAAAATTTCAATTTCAGTTGAACTAGTGAAATAGCCAAATAAAACCATTAGTTACATATTTAGTGGAATACTATATTACATGCACATATACGACGATTAGAAAGATTGCATTGTAATATCTCTAGTGTTATATATTTTCTAGTCTTTATGGATCAAGTATCGAGTATAAATTATATAGTAGTCTTACAGATGAGAACGTTTCACCATTGGTGATAACTTCGTTGCATGACGTAACAACTCTATTTTATTGTGTAAAACTAAATATAAACATAATTGTACAAAACTAATAGATAACATCTTCGAAAGGAGTTTCTTTGCTGAACCGTCTTCATTTTGTTTAAATAAATATTGGTTACATGGATAATACCATAATGTCAAGACGTTTGAACGGAGAAAATTTTCCTCGACGATTCCGTTTACTACGAACAATTATGTTGTGTGTGCTACTAATGTCGACAGACACAAGTAGTATGTATCATCTATCAAAAGTGATGATTTTAGATTTGGTTGTCCCGCCTGGTGTACTCGTTTACTACAATGTAGCTAACTGAAATATCGAAACTACAAAGATTTAAGACCCATCTACTTTTAGCATACTCACGTTAATGTATGACTACCAAAATATATATGAAAGACTATTGAATAGAGAAAAAGTCTATTTATATTAACTTAAAACTTCAGGCACTAAAATTATAGTTTATTGTCAGTTGATTCAATAAGGAAAATACTCTTTTTTGCTTACATCTGCGACTGCGTATTTAAAGTTGGTGAGGTAACGTTCTGGCTACTTTATTGGTTTTTGGACTTTTCATTTCTTGTGAGGTGTTATATTCGACTTTTGACATCTTTTTAGGCGCTCAGTACGACGACAGTCGTCCGATTCGCACGGGGATTCGAACCAAACAACCTCCGGGTGGGGCGTCAAACGCCTTATGGTAGATACTCATTAATAAGTCCTGTATATCAAAACTTTGGAGCTCAACATCAGCGACACTACATAATCAACATGTATTTACTGAAATTGTTTAAGATACACCTGGTTCTTTATTATATGTGCTCATAGCCCAAGTTATGTGTAGCTTCGTTGAAAAACTTGATCGTTATCCTAGTTATGGTTGTTTATCAATTCAAATATAATACGCTACTTCATAAAAATATTAATTACTAAAGATTTTCTTTTTTTTCTCCGTGCACTGTTACGAATGTCTTGGTATGATCTGACAAGAAGATACATGCATCGGACTGCATTTACTGAGGCGTCCGTTTAAAATCTGAATAATGTGTCTATTTAGGTGGGTATCAGTCGTGCAACCTCACTCTTGCACGCAAACTAAACTACTTATTTTAAATTCCATCTTAAGACATAATAGGTGCTGACAAAACTATTGTTTATTGTAGACCTAATAAGTTTATAAGCTCCAATGTAAGTGGCGAATAATTTTGTAACTAATATTACAATGAAGCTTTCAAGCCTTGTTCTATACATTTGCGTTTCAAATGGGATTGCAGAAATATTGTCAATGCATATGATAACGTAGACACTTAAAAAGAACAATATATTGGAAATTTCAACCATTCAAAATATCATTATTGTACATAAAATCGGTGGTTCATGTCAGTATTCACATTGATCAGCTAATTAACGGGTAATTGTTCAACATTCATAATATGTATTTAGCGACTATTTTTTAAATGCCGCCATACGACCTTAAAATGCAAAAAGTTGTTTGGCAAAACAATTTCGCTGTCGCTTGTTGATAAGTTTCTCAACTAGATGAAGTAGTCGGAATTTGCAACGTTGAATTGAGACCAACTGAATTTCTTCTGGATTGTGGTGTATTCATTCGAAGGAATACTTCAACATTTGTTATGCAATTATATTCAGATCTACTAATACCTTTAGTTTTAATATCATCATGTTCCACAAGCTAGAAACGGAAAAAGAATACAATAATTTACGAACCATTATTTACGGTTTAGAGCCGTTGTCGGGGGTTAAAAAAAATTGCCAATGTTATCTGCCAACAATTGGATTAGAACGTATTGAATATTTGATTCACTTAACCAGCCGAATTCAAAAAAACTTAATAGCTCTACATCGCTACAGATTCTGATCGTTCTAGTGGTTAAAATTCTCCAGTTTATTCACTAAGTGTAAACCGCCCTGGTTCTTTGCATTGACAAGGTGAAATCAAGTGACTGACTGTGTTTGGATTGTGAATTCGCGTTTCGGAGACGTAGTATAAATGGTTGGTGCGAGATTCGAGTGTTGACTAAGGAAGCGTGACGTCGTATCTGACACAATGTTCGAACATTGAAAGCCAGTATATGGTTTGACGCGTGCTGATAGAGATGTGTGAGGAGCATTCGTTATGGGGGTAGGAGGACTAATAAGAGAGAGAGAGGATTTATGGTACCTTCAAAAGGTATCACTGCCACCGTGACTTTTCCCGGTTGCGCATACCGTGGAAAGTGTGAGTAATCCTGATGAAGTTGTAATACTCTCCGATTAGGGCGAGCATGCGTCGCTACTTGAAGGTAGGATCGGGTTTAAATGGTAGAACTGTTACAGAAAAGGTCACAGACTATTGATCTGTAGTCGTAAGCGTATACTCCGTCGATAAAAGTAATTGAAGTATAAAAGTAGAGATGACTTGGGAAGTCGATAATTGTAGACGTACAACCTTTGTTTTCTAAATTCCGAATACATAACTTATCAATTATTTAATTCCGCGAACTTGTGTTTGTTTAGTTTAGTTTTTCTACTACTTTTGTCTATTTCTTCTATATATGCTGTTATAAAGTATCGTAACTTAGATACTTTTGAATGCGGTTTTCCATTGAACATATGTCTATGTTCATGTGATTAATTTCATTTTCTCATGTGTACAACTTTCTAATAAATATAATACTAATTATTTAGTAATGTGATTTATATGAGTACAAACTGGTCACCGAAATGAATCTACTGCTTTTGTATATACTCATAAATAGTAGATACAGAACAGAACATTTTGAGTCAATAAAATTATGAAAATTCTATATTGCGTTGATAGATCGTCAAGAAGTGCTTTCCAGTTTTCCGTTATAAAAAAGGCGAATCATATAGAAATAACAATTTAACATTGTACACCCCTTTGAATATTGAAAAATATCATTATGTACAGAAAATAGAATAGAACTTACAGATTCATATGACGGTCTTATTGGATAAACATCAGGTTGAATAATAAGATTTGAAGCTATAAGATTTAACGGTTCAGAGTGAACATCGGTACTCTGCTCTCCATCAGAATGATCTAACTCCATATGGTGTACATCCATTACAGCAGCTATCATGAAAAAATGAGATAAACGTCAAACTATATAAGGAAGTTTAAAAACATCGGAGAACTGATATCAAACTTTCAAATATCTAGTTTATAAAGAACTAAGGTCTTAAGAAAACGCATAGAATACTGCTTGTGAGCATAAGGTTGGTGAGTAGTCTTTGAGAAAATTGAGGTATCTTATGAAAGACATACTCTAAGTATATCCCCATAACACGTCTGAAAATTCCCTTTTCGAATTTTGTCACCTTCAAGAAAATATCATTAGAAATAGGATGAGCCAGTCAGCTACAACGTAGGACCAGGCACATTTGTGCATCGGTCCAAGATGCCACAACTCAATAGCACATGATGAACACCGGATTTATAATGTAGCTAATTCAATGGTGGTAATATATAAAAGAAGGATAGTATATGAGGATATAGTACAGGAAAGAAGAATTAGTTCATAGAAAGAAAGGTATAAAGTAATTTTAATCTCATAGTTTAAGGGAAGATAAAGGGCGAATACATCTACACCATTATGATGAATTCTAAGCCATGTCACCCAGTCTCCAGCCATTGTTTACGATAGTCACGCGGACCCCAACCAAGTAGTCTGCATCTAACATTTATTTTATTTATTTATTTATTTGAACACATAAATATTGGTACAAGAGTGCGCCAATATATACGCGCCACACAAAACAATGAGAATTCGAAGAGAAGTAGAAAGAAAAAAAAACTAAGGAACGCAAAAGAAAAAGAGAACAATGACGAAGAGATTGGAGTAAGGTAGTGTGGTAGTAACGACGGAACGAAAAGGTACAATCAGAAGAAATCTTTCAGGTAAAGGAGACACAACCACTTTTTATGAAGAAAGTAAAGGAAGGTCACAGCAGGATCGCCACTGGCTTCTATTCTGAGCCATATCTGATAACGTCTCTAGCCACTGTGTCGCACCATCTCTCGGACCTCAGCCAGGGAGTCGTGAAGGACCAACACAAGCCAGTCCTTTGCAGCTTTCTTTCATGCCACGACACCATGTCATGCACTGACCACCTCTCCGCTTCTTCCAACCAGTCCCAGAGTCGGCAAATAATGCACGACGTGGAATTCTCTGGGACGACATTCGGAGAACATGTCCAAGCCACCGAAGTCGGTGTTTCAAGATGGTGACACCAATTGAATTATCATCTCTGTGCCCGAACACACGATGCCGAACCTCTGCATTACTGACATGGTGTTGCCACTGAATGTCAGCAATCCTTTGGAGACAACGATGATCGAACACAGAGAGTCGTCTAACATCCTCAACTCGGAGAGGCCAGGTTTCACAAGCATAGAGCAGAACTGCTCTCACCGACGCGTTGTAGATCCGACCTTTTACAGCCAGACTAACATCACGAAGGCGTCAAAGGTGGCCCAGATTGGCATAAGTCGCTCTGGCTTTCACTATTCGTGCATTGATCTCATCACTCACACCCCCACCAGCACTTATGCAGCTACCCAGATACACGAACTTCTCGACTACTTCTATCTGCTCACCATCCAGGGTGAGTACAGGATTAGAATCCTGCCAGTCTTGTAGAAGTACTTTGCACTTCGAAGGTGCAAAGCACATACTATACCTACGGACACTGATTGCCAACTGATTAAGTGCGGATTGCATGCCTTGGGCATTATCGCACAGTAAGACAATATCGTCCGCATACTCAAGGTCGAGAAGTCTTTCTCCAGGCAACAGATCCACACCACCATTACTTACATTCATCAGAGCTGTTTCCAGAATGTCATCGATGGCAAAGTTGAAGAGGAATGGTGAGATTGGGCAACCCTGCCTGACCCCACTGCTCGAATAGAACAATGGAGAGAGGTGGTTGTATGCCCTCACTCTGCCTGAGGTGTTTGTGTATAGGGCTTTTAGGATGTTAATAAACTTCTCAGGCACACCCTTCTTCAATAGACAATCCCAGAGAACAGTCCTATCCAACGAATCGAAGGCAGCCCTGATGTCAAGAAACACTACGATTGTTGGCCTTTGAAAAGTATGGCGGTGTTCTAACATTTGGCGGAGGGTGAAGATATGATCGATACATCCTCGACCAGAACGAAACCCAGCCTGCTCCTCGCGAGTCAATCTTTCTCGGGTTTTGAACAACCTACGAAGAATGACGGAAGCCAATAGCTTGGATGCAATCGGAAGTAAACTTATCCCCCGATAGTTGTTACAAGAACGACGCGAACCCTTTTTAAAGATAGGGACAACTATCGACTCATTCCACGATGTTGGAACACACTCTAATTACTAGAACTTTGTAAACAACGTAGTCAGTTCCTTAACCAGAAATTCACCACCATTTTTAAAAAGTGCCGGAGGTAAGTCATCTGGGTGGGGTGATTTGTAACGTTCCAAGAGTTGGAGTTCCTTGCGGACTTCCTCCTCATTTGGTGGATCAGTCGTCACCGACCATGGAGGGCAGGATAGTCTGATCGATGTTGTCGGAGCAGCCAACCAGTTGAACTGCCCTTGGAAGAACTCTGTCCATCGTCTAAGACGCCGATGGATGTTAGTGATTGGCATCCCATCATCCTCGCAGATTGTTTCACTCACACCAGACTTCTTGCTGC